GCATGTGCTAGGTTATGTTAGTCTTTGTAGCTGCCTCATTTCACAACATGTTCAAAGTGCTCTAAGGTACAGATAATTTTGTACAATTCTTTTTTTTTTTTTTTTGCACAGTGAGGACAGTGTTAAGCAGATCAAGTGATGCATTAAGAATGAAGAAAAAAAAACACAACAACAACAAAAGGATGGGCCATCTGCTGTACAAGACCTTGCCTGAGGGAGTTAAAAGCAGCGTGATGCTATTATACCTTATTTGTGACCACCTGTGCTGGTGCTGTAAAAGCAGGCTTTCAGACTGTGCTGATGGGGCTTTGTTTTTATTCATGATTGCAGCAGCAGTGTCTTCACTGCACTCATGGTGGAATTGTTTATTTTCATCATTCCTGTCACTTTGTGCCCAACAGTTAATCTTCACACACATTCCTTTCCATGTTAATTTCTTCATCCAAGTGGTTAGCGGTGAAGGAGATTTTTAAATGGCTGTTCTTCAGGGCTAGTGGCTGATTCTTTGCATGTCTGACAGACTGTCATCAACTCCAAAAGGTTTGGATAAGGTCCCAGAGACTCCCTTTCCTACTTCCTCTGACAATTGTCCATGTTTTAAAACCGTGCTGATGGACTAATTGTGCTCTACTTAAATGAAATTCTGTAGTGACTCCACTGAAATCAGACATGACATCAGCAGTGTTATTCAGGCAGAGGGAGCTGGGTCTGTTGTTTTTCTGATACAGCAAACTTCTCTAATCCCATATTAGTATATGGTAGCTGTATGTCTTAGTTTCAGCTGGGAAGGAATTGTTTTCTTCAAAGTGTCTGGTATGCTATTTTTTGTTCTAGGAGAGGAACAATGTTGATAATACAGCAATGTTTATAGTTGCCTGCTAAGCAAAGTTGCACAGAGCCAAGACCGTTCACAGTGAAGGGGCCAAGGAGCTGGGAGGGAACAGAATTAGAATAGCTGACATAAATTAACCAAAGAGATATTCCATATTATATGACATAATATGGAAGGAGTTTTGAAGGGGTAGGAGTTCATCTTGCTCTCTTCTGCTGCTCTGGGGCTAGCTGGCCATCAGTTGGGGGGCAGTGAGCAATTGCTTGTGGATCACTTGTTATATATACACATTTATATATATGTGTGTTATATATACATATATATATATATACCTCTGTCATAATTATTATCTTTCCCCTTTTCTCTATATTAGTAAATATGTTTATCTCAACCCATAAGTTCTACTTTTTTCTTGATTCTCTTTCCCATCTGATGTGGAAGTGGGGGAGTGAATGACTGTGTGGTGTTCAGCCACCTGCTGACCACAACACTGTGTCAGATGCATGATGTCTTTCAGTATTAGGCCCGATCTCAGCAATTTAGGCACAGTACAGGGATTTGTATGTGGTCAGCGTTTGCACTGACAGACTTTTTGTCCTTTTTAATAATATTGTTGTCTATCCAGCTCATTTGGTGTAAGATTCTGGCACTAGATAAGGAATTATTCTTTGCTGGCAAGAAGATTACTTGTCATAACATGCTCATACTGCACTGTTAATGCATAATCTACCCATCCATCATCCCTTAAATTTACGAGGATAAATGCCATCTCTCAACATAAGCTGATATAGATCTTCTCAAAAGTACATTCACCTGGGATATATATCAGGGTAATATTGAATTAATCTTTTTTAAGATTTAGATAACTTAATCTCAGTGAATTTCTTGGTGTGACAATGATGCAGCTAGATAGTAGGTCCACTTTCATCAGGTGATGACAACCTCACTTCCCACAGAATCGTTATCATGTATTTGGTTTATGCTGTTGTTCCTCTGTGATGAAGGCAACGGGAATTTTTCTTTAGCATCTCTGAGCGTGAGATCAGATCCTTCCATTTGAGAGACATTATTGTTTCTTTTCTTCTGTGTCACATTTTAGAAGTGTGGTAAATTATATTTTTTCGTTATTTTAAATTATATTTCCATACATCTCTGTTTGCAATCTGTTGGTTTCTATAGTCATTTTAATGTCTGCCTCTGACCATTTTCTGTGATCTCATTACAGCTTTCTCTGTCTTTCTCTGAGCTCTCTCTGAGATGTGCATTTTCTTTCAATACAGTGTTCATAATTTTGAGAAGGTGACTGAGGAAGGACAAAAAATGAAGGCTTGATTTTTTTTTTTTTTAATGAGAGTTCTGAAGTTGTGTTTATCATTTACGGTGGATGTGTCTTTCTCATAACTGTTGTAAAGCATTAATATATAATGAGCATAATTTTGAACGTAGCTTTCTTTAAAGGATTTCCAGAACCTGCATTATTATCACCCTTCATTGTGAAGAAAGTAGGATTGAGATCCAAATCTTCTGTTTTTGATTATAAAAAGCTCAGGCCTTGGTGTTGGGACTGCAACTTTTGGGTAGCATTGAGGTATGTTTTTCAGAAGAGTAATTAATTTCTTGAAAAATGTAATTTATTGCATTTCCACAGTTTCCTTTCAAAACTAATTGCAGTTCTTATCAAGCAACTGGTAGTTTATCCAATAAACAAATTAGTTAATTTTGAGTTTTCTAAATGGTCTACAACAAAGATAGCTAGAAGTCCAAAAACAAACATAGAAAAAGAAAAGATTCAAGTATAAACATGAAAAAGGAAGGCGGTCAGGGCATCTCAGGCCAGGAAATGTTTTGTATTGTGTAATATCATCACTCTCTGGGATGTATTGAAGATACACCTATAGATAAGCATGACACGGAGGGTAACAAATCCAAACAGAGCATTTTTCTTGGCTTGATTAAAAATGTTTCAGAACATTTTATTCTTTTATTTCCGAGATGAGAAAAATATTTGCCCTGTTAAGGGTTGTTAGATGCAGATGTGTCCTCCAGCAACACGTCTCATCCTTCCCAGCCCCTGGAACCCAGCTGAAGACACATGGTCTCAGCCTAGGCTGAGGGCTATGGCTGCTGCTTTCCTCTTTGCAGGTTAATCCAGTAGTGAATCCATACAAGTACAATGACTGGCCCCTTTAAAACCCTTTTCTGTCAGCCCCTGGTTTGTTTACCCTGCTTCTCTTCCTGTGCATATCCTTTCAGTGTGTGTGGCAATACCTACTTCACTCCCGCTAGCCGTGTGTCTAGGGATTCAAAGCTCAGGTTGATCTTTCTGGAAATAGCACTACAGTTTCCTCATTGCCCATCAATCAGTATGACCACAAGGTTTGCCTACTGTCATCTCTGTGTTTACTTTGTCAAGTTTGTGTCTAAATGTGTTTGGATTTTCTATCTTCCTTTATTCTTATCATCCCAATTTAGGATTTCCTCCATCAGGCAACCCTGCTGGAATAAGCACTCGCCTGCATACTTCTTCAGCAGTGTGACTAACCAGGTTTGGTTCTCTTCACTGCCTCCCTTCTCATTTGTCAGTCAAATCTGTGCTCTTGTATGGTCTTCTTTCCTTACTACTATTTTTCTTTTTTCTCTATTGAAACTGTCCTTGACCACATTGCCTTAAAGGAACATGTATTCTACTTCAACTTTTCCTACTTCATCCCTTGTTTGTCCAGGAATTAATATATAATTTTCAAGAGACAAAACTGTGCAGTATTTTTCTCAATATAAAGTTTAAATAAGAAAAAGCTTTTTATAAAATTGGACACTGAAGTATTTATTAATTGAATATACAAGAACCATGTGGATGTATATTAAAGAAGAGGAAAGCACAGGCAGGGTACCCAGATCTATGCAATTCTTCCAACATTAGAAAAGAAGTAGCAGCAGCTGAAAACTGGAGTAGAAAGTGGGAACGGTATTTTGTGCTGACGAGGATAACTGAGCATCTGGACAGAAATATCTTGAAGAATAACATGAAGGGAAATAGTGTTATGGGAAGTATCCACCAGAAGTATTTTTACCAAGAATGATCATTCATCCCTTTTTGTACCTCTGAACGCAACATTCACAATGAAATCTTTCCTTTGTGTTTGTCACTTAAGCTAGCCTCCAAGATCGTCAGGTTTTCTCTGCTGTGATGTTACTCATCCAGATTTAGTACCAAGTGCAGATGGCATTCATATGGGCTTAATCCTGCCTTTCAAATCATGTATCCTGTCATATCCCATTAGTTTCTTTCAGCGCTTCAACACAGTAGAAAATAGAAAAATCCTTTGAGGAAAGCATCATGCAATCTCCAGCACATGGAGACTAATTTAAAAATGTTGGCAATGTTTTTATCCTCTTCTAGTAGTCTGAAAGAAGCATAGTACATTTCAGCTAAGCTCTGATCCATTGCCCAGAAACATCGAAATGAGAAGTAAGCAAAATCCCTAATAAGAAACTGAACTTATGATGTGCAAGATGTAAGAGAACCCAGCTCCCTCCCTATCTTCCATGCTTCTCAACAGGAACAGGAATAAAAAGTAAAAAGAGAATAGCTGTCAAAACAAGGAATCGTGATTTCTATACAACTTTTTTGGGTAGAACTTTTAGTTTTTAGTCAGTAAATGCATTGTGGATTTGTTGCTAGCTAAGCCCACCTAATTTTGTCTTTACATTTTATACCAGCAAATTCCCTTGTCTATAAAAGTAAATGAAAAGTATCTTTCCCACATGAATCTCCCTTTCTAAGTTAGATAAGTTCAGTCTTAAAGATTGAGTATCCATAACATCTGTAGCTTTTGGGATAAAGCTGAATGATTGAAATTAGTTCTGTTTTATTTGGATAGCAAAGCAACTTGCTCAGACTGCTTTTGTATTAAGTTCAACCACTGTCTTTCTGAGGAAATTTTTTTTAATCTGCTTTTCATGACAGTTTGTTACCATCTGGCCTGGGATGTATTAAAAGCTTAACTTCTCCATAATTAGTTAAACGAAGAGTGTACTACACTAATACCTTCTTTCTATTCCCTGCCTCCCTTTTTT